TGGCACTCTACCAAGCAGATCCCTGAAGAGACCAAAGTCTGCTCTCCTGAAGTCCAGGGTAGTGAGCTTGCTGTGCACCCTCCTCAGTGCCCTAAGGATCTCCAACTCCACCATTTCATGGTCACTGCAGCCCAGGCTGCCCTTGAGCTTCACATTCCCCACCAGCCCCTCCTTGTTGGTGAGAACAATGTCCAGCATAGCACCTCTCCTCGTTGGCTCCTCTACCACTTGGAGAAGGAAGTTATCATCATCAAGAAGGAAGTTATCATCGACAGATGATCTGATAGATCCTTCAGAAAACACCATTTTCCAAGGTTACAGATACTTATAGTTATGAATTAACACCAAAAGCTTGACAATTACAAAAAAAAAAAAAGAGCCTATGAAAAGAACAGTAATAAACATTCTTTCTGTTTTATCAGACATACGTACCATGTCTGTTAGTGAGCATAGTGTTAGGAATTATTTTAGCTGTTATCACAAGACATTGCTATATACCAACATTTTTAAAATCTTCTCTATTTTTCAAGTAGAATCAACTGATTTATTATTTACACCAGAACTGTATATAAATTACATCCTAACACTCAGGAAAAAAAGCTTACAGAACTGACTGTCAGTGCTGTATATTGTATGTCAATAATTAACTTTTTTTTTTAAATTTTGGGCAATGTTGGTGGGGGATTTTGTTTCACTTTATCCAAATTTATTTTATTCACTCAAATTTATTTTATTCACTCGAACTCTTTGGCAAGAGCCGTCTGAATGCTTCTCCACATGTGGCACTTCTAAATAATTCAGTCATCCGATCGGGAGAAAGCATCCAGAAATCTTTTCTGAAGAAAATTAGTTTCTGGTTTAAGAAGAAGTGGTAGACACTGAACCCAGCTGTGTTGGAAGCCTGTTTCATGCCTAGTTCCATTCAGCACTATAAAATTCCCAGTTTCACAACCTCCAAGTTCACAGATACTTTTAAATAAACAAGGAAATAACAGCACAAATGCTTATGTGCAGGGTGCAATATTACCATGTTACTGTAATCTGAAGGATCGTATGTTCTCTTTCTGAAAACTTCATAGCTTTCCAGAAACTATTCATTCATTCTGCAGACCTGCTCACTTAAAATTTTCCCCTTGATTCCACCAAACTCCAGCTTTTCCAGCTTTTGGAATTACAACATGTTAATGAAAATTTCCTAGATCAAATGAAAAAAAATTAATTAACAGTATGCCTCTATAAAAAACAGTAACAAACCTGATGTTTGAGATGGTTTTTGCCTCATTTGACCTTGTCCCTTCCGGTGTGGCAGAATGAGAAGTTAAAACCTATGCCATCTTAAATAATTAATATGAAAAAAAAAGTGGAGGAGCAACAGGTAATTCCAGCAAGACTTTATCCTGGTTGAGTCACTTATAGGATTAAACCACAAGTGGAAACGAATTGTCCCATAGAACATACAAATTTAACTCCATTTTAATTTTATCAGATTAAGTTAAAAAAGGCCTAGATAAAAAAGAGCAAGCACTACTAAACACATACTTTTGTGTATAAACACGATTTATTGTCATAACACAAAATGTTGCTATGAAAATTAAACATAAATCTTTCTCAGAGGAGTAAAATTGAACCCACTTTAACCTCCTTTGTAACATGTGCCAAACAATTTCTGTGGTCTCTAATTTCACTTGAATGAAGTTAATTGTTTTATGCCCCAGAGGGATGAAAATAACTGGTTCCTTGTGTGTTTAGAAACGTGCGACACCTATTCTCTTCAGGAGCAAACTAGTCGCGGGTTCCCCAAACAGACTCCTGCCGGACTGCAGACCCCTAGGCTCAGTATTATGATCTACAAAGACTTAGCTGCCACCTCCCCCTGAAGGGACCTGCTTGCACAGGGCTGGGCTCTCTGTGGGACCGTCTGAGTGTCAAGAACTACGACTGTCAGCAAGAGCTAGTTCATGTGCCATGGCTGTACCTGATGCCTCTGATGGGCACAAGCAGCCACGCCTGCAAAACTGCTGGCACAGGGTGCTGTTCCTAAGCATCTACAACTGCTCCCCAGCCAGAGCACCTCGAGCTGTCTGTCTGTTGACGGACAGTCAATAGCCAATGCATTCATCCCAAATCCCTTTCCGAGGTCGCTCTGGCAGGCACTGTCAGACACCGTAAGACTGGATTTCCGACTCTCTGATAGTATTTTAAAGGGGTGGGATGGGGAGGCTCGCTAGCTAAATAACTGCAGAGCTAAAATACCTCGTTTCCCAGCTCAGATCCCAAAAGTGAATCTCCCACTTCCCAGAAGGGCACCCTCATCAGCAGCCAGTCTAGATTCCTACCGCAACTGTTTCCAGGCTCACAAAAGCATAAAAGAAGTCCCAGAAGCAGGAACCAGAACCTATGACCGCTCCCATCCTATACAACTACCCTAACCACAATATTAGAAAAATATTCTACATTCCTTTTCTGACCTCAGATTTTTCATCTTTTCTTGCTTGTTGGCACAGATGTAAAAGGAGAGGTGAAGAGTATTCTGTCTCATCCAAGGACTAGCTTAAAACACCACATTTTTTCTAGCTGTAAACACATGACTCCTCCTCATGTTCTTAGAAAAAAACAGATGCAGGTGCCATGCTCAGGAGAAAGTATGAGCCATGGGCTGCATATGAAGAGTAGCACTTCACTCAAGCAACTTTCAAAATCCTGGAAAAGGCTGGGTTTAGGAAACACGTTTGTCATTTTTCTTACTGCTAATACTAGTCTGCTCCTTGCACAGCATGCAATGTTTGCATCCTACCGAACACTCCGAATTCTTCCTATACACTGTAATTTTGTATTCTGGATATTAGAAACATGAGTCTTGCTGTCTGTATAACTGAAAATAGCCCATATTTCTCAGATACTGTATTTATATAGATCAATATAGATCAATATAGATCTATAATCAATATAGTTTATAAGTATAATTATATAATCAATATAGATTATAAGTAATACCTCAATCTTCAGTAAGCAGTTGAGGAACATATCAAATCTGAAAAACAACATCTCAGATCTGAAATCCCATGGTTTAAATTCCTTGCCACAGGTGAAGTAACTCTCCAATCTGTTTCTGTAACTAAAGAATGAAGCTTAAAGCTTTTTAAGGTAGTTTTAGCTATTTTCACATGCTCCAATGCTTCTTCAGTTTCTCCTTTGAAAAGATTTTCTGGTGAAAGATACAACCTAGACTACAGTGTAAATAAATGAACAGCAGAAGAAAAAGTTTTTAAAAAGTAACTTTTTTAAATGTAGCCATGACATCAGTCATAAAGTTACTTTCCACTTTATATATGAACACAAAAAATAATATATATGTTTTAAAATTGTTATCTCTAACTATTCTAGTTTGTCAATTATCTCATAATAGAACTCTCACTTTTGAGACGCTCCCATAGTATGTTCAACCTGTTACAAATCCCACCAGCTAGACTGACCTTTACATATCGTCTTTTGTACAGTGAACATTCAGGAAATAACAGAGTAAAAGGACTTATTTCCCCCCAATAAAAGTGATATTGGAAATGTATTCACTTGTTTGCCATAATACCTCCATAGCCTTTGGGTACTAATTCTCACGTAACATATGTTGTGCCAGCACATACAGAAGTGCCAACACAAGTCCTTCTAGGTTTTTTCATTTAGTAAATCAGCAGAAGAGGGCTTCCCCCAAACACAGAATCAAACCTAGGACACATATGTGCCTAGTGTATAATTCTGGACAGTAATATGAATAACCTGAAAGAGAGAACCAGGATCCGTGAGTAATGCTGTCTGCATGTAGTAAGGTTTGGGCAGACGTGGGGCAGGGGGGAGAGCAGTGATGAGGATGGGACTATACGTTGTTTTTTGCTGTTCTTACTTCATCAGTTTATCCCAAACCATTATAACTTATATTTATTACAGATTCACATCAAACACATGATGTTAATTTCTTTAATTAATGCAATGCAAGTAGGGTTGGCAAGGCAGGGGTGGGGGAAATAAAAACCTTTTCCTAGTCATAGTTCTCATTCTGTTTCCCCCCTGCCATGTTCTTCTACTGCATACTGCCACCCCTCCTAGGTACGTCTTGCCCTCTCTTTCTCCCAGCCTTACAAACTAAGAATTATATACGGCTCCATCCAAACCTTTTGGCACCACTCCAAAACCTGCTATTTTGGGCTGAGACCAGAATGCACAAGCTCTGTCCTTCATCAGTGCTTGCCTTCTAACAGAGAGCAATAATTTGCCAGGCATTCAGATTAATTTCAATGAAAGTTTTATGTTAGCCTGTTAACGTCCAGCTTAAATGCATGAGGAAGGAGACGGTGCAAAGTCAAAGAAGCAGCAAATGGGGCCTTGCCATATATAACAGATGTCTGACAAAGTAAAAATAAACAGGAGATCTGATAGTGTAGTGCTGTGTGACATGGGAAACACAATGATTTCTTCAGATCAAGTTCCTTTCCCAAGCAAATCTAAGCACAAATCCAAGCATCCAGCTCCCATCCTGCGAGAGAGAGAGGATTTCTCCAGTGCACAGATGTTCACGCCACAGTTTTTTCCCCTGAAAAAGAGCAAAGTATCCTGTACCCACTCACCACTTCAATACTGCTGTAAGCCTATAACAGAGAAAGCAGATTTACTCCTCCAGGTGCTCTCAGGAGGCTCCTGTTCAGTGACAGCCCTGACCCGGGAGTAAGCATGACCCGGGAGTTGTTTCGTGCAGGAGAAGAGAATCTGGTTGCTTCTCTCCTCCCTGGTCACAGGTCACCCTGGAAGCCGCATACTTTTCCCCTCAGGCAGGGGAATTCAGGGAGGCTGCCCACCTGCTGTTCCTAAGGGAGGACTGTGGTGGCCATTTAGAAAGTACAACAGGCTGGCTCTGAAGGGAATTCTCCTGCTTCTTGCCCAACAGAAGTACCTCCAGAACAGTGAATTCTACAGAATGGCTTTGCTTGCCAACACTTAGAAGTTCTCATACTCCTACCAAAACAGCGGGTTTCACTGGAAGCACGGGGAAAGCTTATTTATGACAGGAAGACAGAAAATGCATCAAGGTGGCTCATTCACAGCTGGTTTGCAAACCCTGTATTTTCCTGATTTGCATAGCTCTTACCAGCATTTTGCAATTCATGAAAGGAAATACCTACCAAGAAATGTGGTAAGAAAAGAGGCAGCAAACTTATACCAAAAGGAGGAGGATAAGGAGCATCAACCCAACCTGAAAAGGTTATATGGCTTCTGAAGAACAGTTGTCTTTCACTAGACAAGAAACATATTTCATTCTTAAATACACAGTATGTGAATGGTTGTCCTGGTTTCAGCAGGGATAGAGTTAATTTCCTTCCTAGTAGCTGGTACAGTGCTGTGTTTTGGATTTAGGGTGAGAACAATGTTGATAACACAGGGATGTTTTAGTTGTTGCTAGGTAGTGTTTACACTAGTCAAGGACTTTTCAGCTTCCCATGCTCTACTGACTGAGAAGGCTGGGGGTGCACAAGAAGCTGGGAGGGGGCACAGCCAGGACAGCTGACCCCAACTGGCCAAAGGGACATTCCATACCATGCGATGTCATGCTCAGTATATAAAGCTGGGGGAAGAAGAAGGAAGGGGAGGACGTGTGGAGTGATGGCGTTTGTCTTCCCAAGTAACCGTTAAGCGTGAGGGAGCCCTGCTTTCCTGGAGATGGCTGAACACCTGCCTGCCCACGGGAAGTAGTGAATTAACTCCTTTGTTTTGCTTTGCTTGTGTGCACGACTTTTGCTCTACCTATTAAACTGTCTTTATCTCAACCCTGGAGTTTTCTCACTTTTACCCTTCCGATTCTCTCCCCCATCCCACCGGGGGGGGAAGTGAGCGAGTGGCTGCGTGGTGCTCAGTTGCTAACTGAGGTTAAACCACAACAATGGTACAGCTGATGACTAATTATTCAGTTCAACTTCAAATTTAATACTCTAATACTGGTTGAAAGGATCTATAATGTAATTATGGTGTTTATTAGACAACTGACAGATTAAATCCATGTCTTTCTTATTGGTGTACTGCATAGCAACTAAGATTTATTTATTAGGTACTTATGTGGTTTACTACCCTTACTTGAAACTACCTGGTCAATAAGCAGATTGCAAAATTCCTGCAGCAGAACTACTATTTGTGCAGGCATGCTGTAGAACTTGGAGTGGCTCCATATCAGGCAGATCGTGTGAAATAAAGGTGGGATTAAATTACGGATCTTTGGGAATTCCATCTCCCGAAAGAGCTGAATGCATTTTTCCAGTAGTCTCAGATACAGATCAGTATCTTGGGCTTCTACAAGTGCTGTAAAAATATAAAAGGGAAAAATGCTACAGCTTAAGAGATGATCATTTCCAAATTAACGTAGCCTCAATGAAGAATGCAAAGTTATCCTGTACTTATTTGAAAGAGAAAGATACGTAGGTTTTAGTGGCATGTTACAGCCAAAGTTTGCTTATGAAACTGCACAGAGGCTCTGCAAGTGGATAGGATGGCTCCCATTCCACCGCTGGTAGGTAAGGATGCTTAACAACTGTCTATAATCAGTCTGTTGTTCCTCCCACTGCTGCCAACCGGACTGAGGAGAAGCAGGAATCATTGCAGATACCCAGGTCATTGAAATGTGAAATTCTGCCTTGGAATGAAAGAAAAACATTCTGAAGCCTGCAATCATTTTAGAGACAGGCCAGGTCTGATCACAAGAGGTCAAATGATAATCTGTTAATACTGCTGACTAATCTGGCACCAAGAGGAAAGTGCATCTTGATGTTCTAGAAAGGGCTGTGTGCTCCACTGCACCTTCCAGTGTTATGTTCAATGCCTTGGTGTTTTTCGTCAAAGGGGGAAAGGACTCCACGTTTGCTTCAAGCTGGATGTTTAACAAACACTGACAACTTATTTCTTTTCATAGACTGTAGAAGCTTGTGCTATTTTGCCCTTCAGCAGAAGGCACAACAGGCATGCTCTGGGCTGCTGCTGGCATGGGATGACATGGGAAGGATTCACACTCATACAAGCAGTTAGCTTTGGGCTCTGTTCAACGTAGATAAAGTCTGTTCTTTTACTGCTCAAAACTTCTATTAAAGTGAAAGTTGTAGAGCAATGCCAGCCTCTACAGGTGGCAAGGTCCTGGTGAATAATGTCTTTCCATTGCCTGGTAAGTACTCCATACATGTCTGGCCTCAAAAGTTCAGAAGAGACCTGAAAATTTTTGCACTGTCACTGTAGACTATTTGTTAACTAAAGGCACCTGATGACTATAGAAGTTTCAATCCTTTCTTCTAGTCATACATCAGCAGAAAAACTGCTTAAATATATTTCCATTCACTAATACAAAATTATCGCCCCCATCAAGAAACTAAAATTAACCACTGGGATTAAGAAAAAAATAGGTAAATGTGTGAGTACTTTAAGGTTTTATTTCAAAACTTCAACAGCGATCTTTAACCATGAGTAAAATAGGCAAGACAATACTTGTGAGTGTAAGCTGTTTGCAGAGCTAGTATCTCCTAAACTGAATAACACTATAGAAGAAGCTGGCATTTTATTATATTCCATTAAAGTTTAATTTTTATATACAAAGTAGTATATTAGCTAAATATTTCTTTATTGCTAACTGCCTTATTTAATTTCTTTTAGCAGCAGAATTTATCTATCTACATATTTACTGCAGCTAAAGAATCAGAAACGATGCTGAAAAAATGCACATACTAATTGATTTTGCTACCGCTATATCTCTCACCTATTTTTATGACAGGAAAATTATCCACATAAAGTTTAAAAAAAAAACTAAATGAGCCAGGTCAGCACACAAAGGAGCTTGATTTAACATGTGTATGCCCCTGCAGCCCTGATATATCTCACCATCATGACTTACACTGTTATGTCAAGACAAATTATAGATTATTCTGTAACACACACATATAAGCACAGACAAAATATACATCTCATTCACTCTACCCTTACCATCTTCTACTTCCTTGAAAATGTCCTGAGAAGCAGGATAATAGCTGCTTTCTTCGGCTTTTAAGATCTTAATCATTTTTTGAACAACAGGACTCTGAAGCTATAATTTAACAAAGAAGAAAGCAAGCAATTAAAGATCATGGTCACCTGTCAAAGGAGTAGAAAGAGTAGAAGGGAGAATTCAGGCAACTTACAGTTGCACTCAGAGAATTAATGAATCAATACATCTCAAGTCTACTAGCAGATAAAGGCTGATCCATGTCAGCGAAATCCATGGAAAGGCCCCAAAAGCTTTCAGTGGGGAATGAACTGGGCTCTTCATAATGCTCACTTACCTGACATCGCAACATTGCTAACAACAAGCATGGAAGCAGAGGATTGCACACAGCTCCCAACAACATTTCATATTTGGAAAGTAAATAACCTTGTGCATCTTTTTCAATTGAAAAGAGCTGTTTCACTCATAACAAGCTATGATTATTATCATTAAACAACAGTATCAGTTTCATAGACAAATTTGGCAATAATTTCCCGAATATAAACTTTGTTCTCAACCTCATTTTCTCCAGAGTTTGAGAAATGTCATGGGAGGAAATTTAGAAAAGATCGACAAGAACAGCAGAATTCCTTACAGCTACATAGCCCTTCATCACTAACTTTCACTGTCCTCTAATGTTTAACTCTGTTTTTCTTTGGTAACTTATGCAAAGTCCAATTACTTTGGGAAACCACTATAAGCTATTTGCGAAAATAAAACAACAAAAAAATCACTTTGGTGTCTCATTTCTCAGAGTGCATGGGGAAAGGCAAACCAAAAGAAAGTTCTCCTTGATGTTTACAGTAATACCTGAAATCACTTACTTGCTCATTTATATAGAAAAGATTGTCTTTTCTTGCTTTCCAGAAGTTTAGCTCAGTTTGGGGGTCTGGATGAAGGCCATGCAGAAGAGGT